GGTGATAAATCATTAGTTCAGGCTAAATACTACTTATGAAATAACTATGATGCTTAGGGTAATACATTTTTTGTTTGAGAAAAAAGAGTTTTATAATAGGATATTTGGAAGTCATAGCTCAATCAAGACTTTAAGTCAATCTTCTGACAAAAAAGTTTTAGCATGTAGACTTTCAGTGTCTTGGTTTCTTTTAAAAGTGAGACAGTGACTAAAAAATGGGGGGAAGCAAATACATTAATTTCCATCATTGCCATACTCTGGAATTTTTTTTTACAAAATAAGTGCAATTCTGTCCATCCTGTGCCTTATGATTTTATCTTGAGTTTTAAACTCGGTCTCTTCCAAGAACACTAATAATGAACAACTGTGGGTTTCATGAGCTGCCTCTTTTGCATACTGTTCCTCTTGCACTTTTCAAGTAATGCTGATGTAATTAATTGTGGATTTGTTGGAATATGGAGCTTGCTTTTAGTCCGTACATCCTCATTAGCTGCAAGATTAGTCAGAGTGGGACTTTACTGAGTCAGAGATACCTTTTTGGCAAAGTCAGTTTACTGAAATAATAATCCAAACAGTGTTCACTTTTGCAGACTCTAGATTGTTCACTTTAAGCTTGTATTCCTGTTATAATCATGAACTTCCACCATGCTCTACAGCTGATATGTCTTTGTAGCTAGTCTCTTGCAAGTAGGCATGGATGTCTCTACAAATAGCGTTTATTAGCAGCTGAAAACTGTTAAAGATGTCATTAATTTAAAAAAAATATTGAAACCTGGTAAGTAATCCATCCATCTAGTGAGAACAGCAGAGCACAAGTCTGAAAAAAAAAAGATTTGTCATGTTGGTGAAGATGTTAAAATTTAGGAACCATAAGGGGTTTTTTTCTGTGTCTTAAAATATTTCTGATAGTTTTAGAATGTTGATAAGGGATGAGAGAGTACTGCATACTTGTACCTGCAGAGTTTGATGGCAGCAGGAGCACATTGGCATTCATGTGGAGAAAAGTCCAAACTTCTGTGTTAAGTGACTAAGAAAACATGAGGGAAAAGTGCTTTTCAGACCAATACTTGACAGATAAAATAGGAATTAGTAGGAATTTTAAATAGAAATATTATAATAAAATGTCAGGAGACACCTTTGTTATGCTCAGAGATATTTTGAATAGTATGGGGGCAGGACAGAGAGGGATACCTCAGCACAGAAGATAAAGTCAGGACCTTCTGGCATGTATAATGAAAAAGCAAATGCAAAGTGCTGCACCTTGAAAAGTACAATGACATAGGGAATGGGGGAAGCAGCTCTGGGAAAAGGGTGCTGGGGGCCCTGGGAGCTGGACAGGAGCTGGCAGTGAGCCTTGGCAGCAGAGGCAGCCAGCTGCATCCAGGGCTGTGTCGGTCATTCCTCCACCCAGCACTCCCTGTTAGACCATACCCGGGTACTGGGGCCAGGTTGTGCCTCCCACTGCAGAAAGATGCTGAGAACCTGGAGCAAGTTTACTCCAGCAGTCACAGAATCACAGAATTGTTAGGGTTGGAATTGACCTTTGGACATCACCCAGTCCAACCCCATGGCAAAGCAGGGTCACTACAATGGGAGCATGTCCAGATGGGTTTTGAGTGTCTCCAGAGATGGAGACTCCACAGGACCCCTGGGCAGCCTGTTCAGTGCTCTGCCATTCTCAATGTAGAGTCCTTCCTCAGAAGGTGGAAGGTGAAATTTCCTGTGTTTTAGTTTATAGCTACTGCTCCTTGTCACTGAGCTCCACCAAAAAGATCCTGGCATCCTCTTGACATCCACCACTGAGATATTTATTTATATGTATTGATGAGATCCCCTCTCAGCCTTCTCCAGACTAAAGAGGCCCAGCTCCTACAGTGTGTCCTCATAAGAGAAATGCTCCAAACTCCTCATCATCTTTGTGACCCTGCACTGACCCTCTCCAGTAGCTTGTCTGTCTTGTACTGAGGAGCCCAGAACTGCACACAGTGCATGTTCAGGGCTGGGGCGTGTCCTGTCAGCAGAGCCTGGGCCAGGGGGAGCTTGTCCCCTGTGGGGCAGAGCTGATTTCAGGGGCTCTCTGCTGACCTCTGGTTGAAGTTTGCTGATGTACACAGTTAAACTTGTTCTGTAGGCTCACATGAATCTTCTCCAATGAGAAGCTGAAGATGCCTATATATAGGAAATTAGTTCAAGTACCTTTATGTAACCCAGATTATTTTGAAATAAAATATAGGGTTCTTTCCCACCCCCCAAGATCAGCTAAATAAAGGACTATGAAATATATTTTCTCTATATAGTTTTCTGTTCAGAAACTAACAGGGTGCATTTCTTACCATGATTGAATATAGCAAATGGGATAACAAATTTCTGTCTAGATATTTGTCCCCAAAGATATGCTGCATATATTCCACTACTTATTTCTGCCAATTTATTATGATATTCTAGCTTCATAGTAGCTATCCACAGTTCTTTGTGGTATTTCATTTTACAGATACAAAGAAGAAAAGATTTTTTTTTCCAAGAGCCCTTTGTGAATGCCCTGAAAAGATATCGATGTACCTATGAAACAAAAGGCTTCTGCAAACACCAATGCAAGAAAAATTCTTTCTACTTGTTCATTCTGAAATGAATTACACATGTCAGGCAAATCAATAAATCTTTCTAATATCAAGAAAAATAAGGATCCCAGCCACTTCCCCAAGAAGCTTTATGTAAAAAGTGGCACAATAATTATGTAGGTGGATTATGATCTATAGGCAAGTGCACTGACTAGTAACATGTAAAAGTGACATTTCCTTTTCAGACAAATTTAAAATGAGCTGCAAAGATACATTTTGCAGTCAACTTGCTTGTACAAAAGCTAAATCAGGCATGCTCTTAAAATTGTACCGTATGCATTTTCCATCTCAGACTTTCCATCTCAGCCTCTCCCAAGTCAGTTATTGTGGGTGGAGCTGGCCTAATTTTTGCAATACAAAGCACATTTGCCTGAAGATCCATTTGATTAAATATTTTATTTTATGTTTCAGTGTCACGGAAACAATCCAATCAGATCTCACAAAAAATAATGATCAAGGAAAGAGGGCAAGAGAGGAAGGGACAAAAATCAAACTAACATGGAAATCTTTTATCTGACAGTTTGAAAATTAACTTTTTGACTTTTTAAGACAGATTTTTTTTAGACAAGGAAATATTAAGAACAATTCAGTGTTAGATAACTAAAAGCTAAACAAAAATAGGAAATACCTTTTCAATTAAATTAAATATTTTGAGGGAACCAGAATGGATTTAAAGCTTCCATTTCATTAATTAAGTTTTTAATGTTGGGGCTTCCCAGTCAGTTGGATTTTTTTTTTTTTTATTTCAGGCATAGAAATGAAAAATTGACAGAACAGTCAACATTGGGCTGTAAAATCTTCAGGTTAAGCGTCTCTTTCCTGGTGAAAAAAAATCCTTTTCCTTCCCCTTGAAAAATTTTCATGTGCTTGAGATTTATAAGAATATATCATATGTTTGGGAGAGCTGAGGATGTTTTTGGAAGCATGGATGAATGCTCAAATGTTGGTTTTAATTGCTAGTCTTTTGGCCTCTCTTGGTTCTTGCTATAATTATGATAACCAAAATCAAGGAATAACTCTCTCAGAGTTGTCACAGAAAGAACATTTTTATTTTAGAGTGTTACAGGAGGACCTTTGCACCAGGGTCACCATAACACATCGGCCCTGCAGCAAAGGCCAGGCCTCAGAGGGAGCAGAAATAGTTTGGAAGACTGAAATAGAGAAAGCACCAAATTCAGTTTTGTCTTATATGAATCAAACCCGACTGTGGCAAGGAAAGAATATGTATATATCTTCAACACACACAAAACCCCCCAAAAATGCAAAAGAAAAACAAACAGAAAACCCACCAATCAGAAACAAAAAAAGAAACAAACAACCAACCAAAAAAAACATAGAAAATAAATGAATCCTTAAGAAAATGCATAACCTTGCCAGTGCAGCATTTCATCAGCCCTGTCACACTGGAAAGGAGTGGGGATACAGGGACACAGGTCCTGCAGTGGGGGCCCTGCTGCTGTCCCCATCCATCCTGTCTTGCAGCTCTGAACGTGTCCCTGGCCCTGAGCTCCAGTGGGGGCCCCACTGGGGCACAGCCAATGGCTTGAGGCTGTTTCTTGTGGAGCCCTGGGCTGACAGAGCCAGGCAAGCTCAGAGGCAGCTCCAGGCACTTTGCTGTGAGCTGTTCTGGTTCTCCTGGACGTGCACTCAGTCAGAGGGAGAAAAGATAAGGGCTTTGTTTTGCCCTTCTCTTTGAACAAATGCTAAAAAGCTTTGGAACTCCTACCGGATCAGACCTCTTCTTGATGTCTTGAGGAAATTTGGCTAAAAGGCTCTGACTTGAATAGCTGGCACTTTATAGAAAATGACAACTGATGGCTGGAGAGCCCTGAGGCTGGTAAACAATGGCCACAGGGAGGATCTGCTGGGAGGAATATTGCTACTATGGTTTAATCTCAAAAGCCAGTTTGTTTCTTGTGGTAGGTGGTAAAAGAAAAGAATAAGATCACATTATATCTGTTCTTGTATTATTTAGTGCAATGATGAAAGGCATTGCAATGATGACAGTGCTATGCAAGCTCAAGTGAAATAGAATCTTAAAATAGAAACAATACAAACACTTGGTGAGCTATATCCACTGATATTTCTGTGGGAAGAAACAATACAAATGAAATTTTGTAATGCCTTTCACTCCCTTAAACTTAAAAAAGCTACAAGTGTAGCAGTAACAAAAAAACCAACAAAAATCAACCAACCAAAAAAAAGCCAAACTTGCAAAAATCACTGATTTAAACCTCTCACTTTTATCACTGGACTTGTGAATTTAGTGATTAATTTAATAAAGTAACTTAGTCTCTCTGTGTTAGTTTAGTTTTCATTTAATTACATGTGAAAGGCACTAGTTAATAGGAAGCTAACAATCATATTTTCTGTTTCTGTCAGGTGCTGAAACTAATCTGAACTTGAGGAGCAGGGAAGATCCAAATACATCAGATCCTGGATCAGAAACACAGGATAAAAATGCAAATAATCATGGAACTCAGTCATCTAATCCATTGTCCAGTTCTGTGACTGCTGAAAATGGAAATTCAGTATCAAATGGTAAGTAGTTCTTAATCCCAAAATTCTTCTAACATAAAATTGCTGAAGTATTTCCTTGAATGAGGCTCGAATCTTCTGAGTTGTGAAATATCTCTTTCTGGAACTGGCTTAACTTTCTATGTGTGAACTGATAAGTCCCTCTCCAATAAAAGCTGAATGTGAAGAACATAAAACAGCCTCTGTTGAGGAATTTGTAATTCCTTCAGCTCCAAGTCTGTAAGCAGCCTAAGGTATGGAGGTCTGAGATTTGAGATTCTGATCCTATAATCAACAAAAATGGGACAGAAAATAGGAAATCAGGATCTCCCTTTGCTGTAGGTGCCTTACGAGTGAATGAAATGTTTATTATTATTGCAATACAAAATGGTACAAGAGCAGTGACAGAATATGTTTCAAGGTTCTAAAAGCACTAATCCTAAGTAACACCTCTCTGAGTTCAGATTTTTAATAGAAGTTATTTTCTCATTTTGTGTAATGAATTTAATTGCTCTTATTTTTTACTTCTTTTTTGACAGGAGTAGCAACTTTCTACATCTCTGTGCTATAAAACAGTGATTTCACCACAAATCTTCCATACTTAGCAGAATTCTTAGTCTGAAAGAAAGAGCTCTTTGCCAAATAGACAAAGTAATCAGACAGCCTGAAATAACCTTTTACATTGCAATGCTGAAAGTTGTGGTCCTACATCACCCAAAACAGTGCCACGTATAATTGCAGCAATAATGTATAAAAAACTTAATTTTGAACCAAAACAAAGAAAAAAAAAGCCAAATTTAACTTTTGGTAACTTGAGAGTAGTTGCGGGAAAGCCCAATCCAGATGGTGTAGTTTGTACTCCAGACTGCACCCCTGACTAACTTAGGTTCTTGTAATTTTGCCTCTGGCCCAGCTAAACTGATGCTGCCAACCTTGGACTGAATTAAACAAGGTCTTACTCAATGCACAACTGTGATATCCTAATATTTACTTAGGTGTACGTAAAGGAAAGCTCTTAGGATGTAATCAACAGCTCCATTTGTCTTTCCAAGCTCTACCAAGCCTCTGCTTGCCATGTCTGTGACAGCATGCTGTTGCTGTACATGGAAACTTTACTTATTTGATAAGGCCAATTATCAAAGTGCTTTTTGCAGAAATAAACAGAAAATCATTGATAATCTGATTCTTAGCTCAAGGCTGTCCTGGGCAGTCAATTCTAAAGTGTATTAACATAGTACAAAATCAATATATTTTTCAGAACTTGCTGTTTGGCTTAGTAAAGTATTTTTATTCATTTGTGGTGGTCTAGAATTATGAAAAAATTTTACATTTTACCTTTTATTTGAATTAAGTGAATAGCACCTACTTTTAGAAGGTACTTTGCATTAAAATTTTGGTAATTTTTTACTACTTTATTTGACATGGATCCAAACTGAATCCATGTAAATAAATTTTTAGTTCAGGAAATTATTTGAAAAAGGGGGTTGTTTTGCATTCACAAAAAACTGAGATCTTTTAGATGGAAATTTATTTCAAGCCTTTCACTCAACCAAAAAACGTGATCTTACAAAGGGAGAATTTTTACCTGAAGTACAGAGAATTTGATGTAGACAAGAATGCAATAGTGGTACCTGACATATAATTTACAAGACTAGCAGTACACTAGAGGCCTTGGATGTCACACCTTTCCCCTGTACATACCTAATATATCATTTCCCAGCTTCAAAAAGTGATAATCTCACCTCAAAACAACACATAATTCCAATTACTGGGAGGCCAGGGTCAGATTCCCTTTGCACCAAGCAGTAAAGAACTGAAATGCTGGACTCTCTCAGATTTGACCTGGTTCAAACGAGGTCCTGAGCTTCAAATAAGGGATTTGCCTTCTTCACTGTCTGTGTGTTCAGAGGAAGTCCAGATGATGTAGAAAAAGATCCATATTTATGAATACTTTACATGAGCTTTATTCAGAAAAACAAAGAAAATTTAAAAACTGTTGTCCCTAGTTACAAAGTTGTGGGAAGGGACTGTTATTAGGGGGAAACTAAAAGGAGGATAGAGAGGCTTTAAGGGGTTTTAAGCTTTGTTTTAATTCTCATTTTCCTACTCTGATTTTGATTGGTAATAAATAAATTCAGTTCAATTCCCCATGCTGAGTCTGTTTTTCCCATGACAGCAACCAGTGAGTGATCTCTCCTGTCCTTATCTCGACCCACAAGCCTTTGTTATCTTTTCTCCCCCTGTCCAGCTGAGGAGGGGAGTGATGGAGCTGCTTGAGTGGGCACTTGGCATCCATCCAGGGTCAACCCACCACAAGCACAGCACTATGAGGGCTGCTGTGGGAAAAATGATTTCCAGCTCTGCTAGCCCAACACACAGACCTACCATGGTGTCTGTGATTCTGGTCTGTGAGGTCCTCAATATTGCCCATAATGGATTCCCTTTGTTTCTGCTTCTGTCTTTGCTTCCCCTCATCCCACCTTTCAGATCCCCTGCAGTGCTGTGTGAATGCCATTCCCACTGCTGCAGAAGTGATGGGGAAGCACAAGCTGTGAGCCTCACGATAGGATCAGCTTTGCAGAGGTGTTTGTTTCTCTTGGGAAGGAGATTACCTGGCTGTTTTACACTGGGTAACTGGTTTTTACACAGATAAATTTGGGACAGCTAATTCCCACATCGAGAGTGCATTATAGTTACAAGACTTCCAAAAAACATGTTTTATACTGAGGGGATGAAGTTTTGAATCCTGGACCTAATATTGAGTTCCTGTGTGACACAGAGATATAATTTGAGAGCAGAATGCTTCAGGCATGGTTTTTTTGCCTTTGCATTGCTTCTGCCATGAAAACAAGCCAGGGGAAGAGGAACCAGGGATTTCTGCATTGCAGGAGGAATCCCTGGCCAGTGTATAGGTAAAGTGATATTTGCAGGCTTTTTAGTTACAATTGGTCCTTCTTGTCAACCAGCATGCATACCTATTATACTATACCTACATGGCAAAAAAGAACTTTTCTGTTTCAGTAAGCATGGAAATAGTAAATATTCAGGAAATATGTGATTTGGGTTTTTTTTTGTTTCTTTTTTAGTAAAACATATCAAGGTCTTTTGAACCTCATTTTGAAATCAACCAGTGCATAAATCTCAGATTATAATTTAGTATTTTTCTGCTTTAGGATTACCAGAGGAAAATGACTTTTCCAGACTGTCTGCCAGCACTACAGCAGGCTCATCTATTCAAAGGCACAGGGAGAGCCACACTAGTCAGGTAAATATTTCATTGATAGCCTGCTAAACCACTAAAAGATAAAAAGATCATAATAGGCACATGTTGAAAGCTTTCTCTTGATTCAGATTTGGGTATTGGCATTGAAAAATGCAGACTTCTTTAACAGGTTTGTATTGAGCTAAAGACAATAATGAATTTACTACCTTTTTTTTTTCGACTGAACGGTTTTTATAGTGAGCTCAAAATTTATGAAACATATTGTTGCTGGTTGTGAGGATGCTATTTCCAGGCAAGAAATATGTCTTTTAACCCTGAGAGGACCACGATATTATCTCTCTCAAGGTACTGATTCATTCATACCAGAAATACTTGCATGAACCTGGTAGAATTAAATGCATAATTATATCATACTTTTAAAATTAAAAACAATGAAGACCTAAAAAATTGCTCTTCACAATTTCTGTACAAATGCCAATAAGTAATGAAATCAAAATATCTATCAAGTAAAACAGCAGCAGCTACTAAGGTAATGTGACACTTGCATTGGTTTTCTTAACATTTCTAATGAGCTAAAGTAATTTTAAAATTGCAACATAGATTAATTCTGATGTGCATTAAATGAACAAAAAGGCATTGTGGCATTCACATTTTCTGAAAAATCCCTTCACCCAGGATTTTTCTCCTGGGAAACGGAGAAGCCTCAAAGAAAAAGGAAAACAATAGTTATCTGATTTGCTTCTCCTGTGTTATGCTCCTTTGGAATGTGTTTGGAGATTGTTTATCCAGCAGGTGATTGTTTCATTGGTTTCTGCTGTGAATTATTTTGACTTATTGGCCAATCAGGCTCAAGCTGTGTCAGGACTCTGGAGAGAGAGTCACGAGTTTTCATTATTATTTTTTAGCCTTCTGTAAGTATCCTTTCTATAGTCTTTAGTTTAGTATAGCATTCTTTAATATGATATAGCATCATAAAATAATAAATTAACCTTCTGAGAACATGGAGTCAGATTCATCATTCCTTCCTTTGTCTGGGAGCAACCCAAATACAGTAAGGGATAAACATTTTAATAAGATTTTTTTAAAGTTCTTTCTTCAATATTTTGTATCTAATGTGAACCACTTTACCTTCTAAGTAGCCAATTCTGGCATGGGAGCATTCAAAAATTTTATTATTATATTACTTCACTTAAACAGCATTAGTGTATTCTCCTATTGTCATTATGTCTTCAGTGCACTTTTCTAAATGGGTAGTCCCAAGTCGTTTTTTTTTATTTGAGATGATTGTAAGAAGTCTACAGTAAAGCTAAATATTGTCCAAATAGAAAACAAGTTGGAGCTAAGAGGACTTTTCTCAACAGAAACCTCTCATTCACCAATTTTACCATTTTCAAACTATTTTACCAGAAGGTAAGAGAAGTGCTTTATCACTTGTTGTCTGTGGGGGACAGCTGACATTTCATAACAACAAAACACTGGCCTTAGCCAAGTTAAATGAATGTTTGGCCTTTGACTCCAGCAGGAGCAAGATTCAACCTTCGACATCATACTCGGTGTTAATGCAGCTCTGAAAAACATTAGGTTTCAACTGGATAAATATGTGAGCCAACCAGTACAAAAGCTTTCACTTTTTGTTTTTCTGCCTTACTGTCAGAAGCATGTAACTACAGGGCCTATTCTGAGCTGAAAAATTGCGCCAAGACAGCAGTCAGCACTACACTTATCCCTTGAGTAAGGCTGGCTAGATCTCACTGGAGCATAGATGGGAGCAAATCCATCTTGCGCACCACACCTCACCATACCTCTCAGACTCTCAAAAATGGGCTTTGACCCTATTGTGAAAGAAAATCCTTTCTTCTGTCTCCAGAGGAGTATTCTGGATGAGGGTGTTTCCAGTTGTCTTTGTTACATTTTTATTACATCAACCAAGTACTTACTACCTATGAGAGTGGCCAAAGAGACCTTTCTAGCGAATGAAAAGTCCAAGTCTCTGACACTGCTTCAGTTACAAACCTCACGCAGTGAGAAGCTTTTGTCCTGCAGCGCCTCACACCTCTGGTGCTAATGAGCTTACCTGGGTCAAGATGGTCATGTTTAAATTACTACATCAGTACAGTACAAAAAATTAAATGAACTGGATATAGGGGAGCCACTGTCCTCTTCTTCAATCCTTTGCAAATGGAAACAACATTTAAATGTTTTATTTTTGGAGCAAGTTGTTAACAATTTGCAAATTTGTGCTTTTTATTTTTCCAAAAGTACTTGCCAAAACCTTAACACAATTTTTTTCCAGTATTTTGAAATGCCACTTTTCAGTAAATTTTCAGATGTTTTGCCAAAGTGTTTCACAAATTTTTAAAATAAATTCCATGCAATGTACTTGGAATTGCACACAGGGACAATCCTTAAATTCAAGCTCAGTAAGAACTGTGACAAGTTGAGAGAAGAAACCTGTAGTTCTGTGATTTTTGATATAATTCCGTTAATGAATAAACATCTTCCAAAATGGTGTTGCCAAAAGAAAACAAGAAAAATGTTCTTCTTCCCATAAAAAGAAAAAAAAATCTTAAAAAAAAATCTATGCTCGCAGGGCTGAGAATTCTTACTGTGAAAAGCCTTCCTCAGCATTGCCAAAGCATGGCATATATTTGAAAATGACTGGGTTTAATTACTGTTGACATTTCTTAGCATGCTGCTAGAGACTCTAACAGCGTACAAGCTGATTGTAAAATCTTTGCCAGGCTTCACTGTAGTAACCTTATCACTTAAAATAATTCCTGCACAGCTGTATGAAGTGGGACATATTTTTTCACAGGTCCATGATTGACTAATTGCTCTAAAGAGAAAAATTTAGTTCCTTGGATATCTTGGCAGCCATTGTCACTTCAGCTAAAGGAAACTGGTTCTCTAGCTTTCAGGAGCTTCCAAGATTTATGGATTTTTAAATATCTCCCTGCTAGTTCCTTACTGAAGTGACAGTGAGGGTTAGTTCATTGCATTTGTGTCACAGGATCTCAAGGTGAATATCCATTCCATTAAGCCGAGACATTGTGGCTATGGTACCATTGTGTTGTCACATCAGGTGCTAATTACCTGCATCACTGTCTGACAGTTCTGCACACTGCAAATCTACACACTCCAGAGACAATTCTTCAGGTCAGTGTCTGTTAACATGTAGCATATAGATCAATCTTTTAGTAAACTTCTTTGAAAGTAGTTACCAAGCATAAGACATCATCTAGATGATCATCCTAAAATGAAGTCTGCTGAAAAAAAAAAAATAAAAAGGTTTACTGTTGGCCATAAATGCTAATTTTCTAAGGCAGTGGTTACAAAAAGGGCAATTTTTCCTGAATGAAAAAGAATAAAAATGGAAAAATTCAAACACTAACAAAATATTTCTCATTGGAAAGTTATGGAATAAAATTCTACTTTGTTCTTTTAGAAAAAGTGGAGGAGTATTGAGGTTTAATTTTTGTCTCCTCAGGAATGAAAGAACATACATCAAAACAAAATAAGAGTTTTGCATGTCAAAAGAACAACAAACTAGGGTTTTTAAACTACTCCCTTTTTCTTCATGTTGTTTTGTGGCCTTACAGCTATAGATTTCCAAGTGTTTTTTATCAATAGGCTGAAAAATATCACATAAAAATATGAAGTAACTAACATCTGATATCGGACTGTAACTTCATTCTCTGTGAAGATGGAAGTTGAAGTATGAATTTGGGGTGAAACCAGTTATTGAAAAGTTTCATGTGCTTTTGTTTGTTCAGACAGTAGATCCTCCCAACCCAAGACACTAGCTTTCCTATGTTTTGTGCTTTCCTTGTAAACTAAAATATGCTATTGAAGGAAATATTCAAAATTGAAAACCAAAAATCTTTAGTAGAATGGTTCTGCAAGAAGCAATATCCTAACCTACCCTTACAAGAAAACTTTACTCTTAGCAGCGATGCCTCTAACTCAACTTGAACAGAAAGTGTTATGGTAGCTTCTTGCTCCCCAAACAGCAGAAAACTAGGAATATTCCTTTTGCAAGCTTGATTTTAAATTACAGATGTAAAATTATTTAAATAATTATTATTTCAAATTGCTTCAGTGATTTGTCTGAACAGTCTGGCAGTTCCAAGTGTGCCTGGATCTGTAATCTCAAATTCATATGCCATGATTTCCTTCCAGAGGTAAAAAACCTCACCAAAATGAAAGAGATGCTTCTTCTGGTCATTTTTGCCATAAACTTGCTTAGGTGGGAAATTCTGATATTACTAAGAGTCATTTCTATTCAGTCACACTCTAGGAAGTGATCCCAAAGCATGTTGGCTATTCCACTAATGTTGAAATTGCTTGAAGGATCTAAAACCCAAAACCTCCTCTAAAATAAAAAAGCTAAAATATTGATCCTGTGCTCTTTTTCTTTTACACAAAGTATTTTTCAGTTCCTTAACCAATCCAATAGGCTCTCTCCAGACTGTTTTTAGTGATTCCTCTGCTCTCAACAGCTGCTATGAGTATCTATGTTTAAAAGGGCATAAAGACCATTGAAATATATAAATTCTTTGTAATGTTAGCAATGGCAGCAAGATGAAATGGAGTCAATAAAAGCAAACCTCTATATTTTTTTCCTCTCACAAAAGCTAAGTGGCCATGTCTTTTCACAGATTCAGGACTGTGAGGTTTTTTGGTGGATTGGGTTTGGGTTTGTTTTTTTTTTTTTTTTTAATGATACTTTAAAGTTATTACCATTCACTATGAAGAGGGAAGTGTTGTGAGAAAGATATAGTGGAATCAAGAAAAGCCAGCCAGGTAAAAGATTCCTTTTTTTCTTATGTGGGCAGCAAGAAGCAATATGGTCTGTCTGTAACAGGATGAGATAGACAACCTGAAGATAATGAACAGATGGGAGGTGAGGGACACATTCAAGATTAGAGTGATAATAAACATGCGTGGGGAGCAGGAGCAGGGAGTGAACCAGGCACAGATAATGGATGGTTCTAAGAAGTCTGGAAAAGAATAAAAATAACTGAGAGAGAAGGTAAATAATA